TTGTTGTATGGTAGCTTCTCATTTTTCCACCTCGATTCTCAAACATGCAGAGGAGATCTGCAAGTGATTCAAATTAAGTATCAACCCAATTTAAAATAGGTATTGTCAAATTAATTACTAAAAGTAGGGGAACACACAACAAACGAAATTAATGCTCCACCTTTTTTATATTGTAGGATGCATTAAAAGATCATGTTAGGCCACTTACACTAACAGATTTTGTGTAATTAGAAAAATAATATTTACATGTTCTGTTCTACTTTGTTATCGAAATAAAAGTTAAATAATGTTTATGTTTTTTTTTGTCAAGCGCGCGCGCCTGAGTGTGTGTGTGTGTGTGTGTGTGTGTGTGTGTGTGTGTGTGTGTGTGTGTGTGTGTGTGTGTGTGTGTGTGTGTATCAATAAAGTTGTGAAAGTTTGTCTCACTGTGCTTACGTCATTTCCTGAGCGACGCAACAGAGGCTAGCTAGCCTAAAAGATAGCAGGTGGCTCGACATCAAAGTGTAATGGCCATGACGTAACCAAATCAAATACATGTAACACGGTTCTGACTTGGGAACGTCCGTGCGTCTATGGCGACCGTTGGCGGCGGCGGCTCGGCGTCAAACCATGACGTCCAAGAGTCCAGCTCAGCTCAGAGTGGAGCTCGGGTGGCGCTCTCCAATGCCCCGACCGCCGCTCTCGGCCCGTCCGCCTCTCCGCCGGTGCTCGCCGTTCACCGGGAGCCCGGCGTATACAACTGGCAGGCGACGAAGAGTTCCCTGAAGGAGCGCTTGTCTTACCTCCTCAACAATGAACTGCTTAGCGACGTCAGGTTTGTCGTGGGGAAAGACAGACAAGCGCAGAGGATCCCGGCCCATAAATTCGTCTTGGCCGCTGGCAGCGGCGTTTTCGATGCCATGTTCAACGGGGGGATGGCGACCACCACGGCCGAGATAGAGCTTCCTGACACCGACCCAGCAGCTTTTCTGTCGTTGCTCAGGTGGGTAGACGAGGCACAGGTGGTGAAGTTGTGTTTAGAGGGGTTCCCCGTTGCCCCGTTACCCCGTTCCCCACCGCCTCTCGCAGCATTACCAGGGGCGTCGCTTTTCCTTCCAGAGTGGAGATGAAACAAATTGCAAAAATAATAATAACAATAATGCAACTTTTCTCCTGTCTCATTCAACTGGTGCATAGATTTTTAAAAGCTGCTAATTCAACTCAGGTTGAGGTAAAACACCATAACAAGAAAGTATAGGTAACCAGATAATTAATGTGGCAAGACTGAAAACAATTCTGTCCCCCATGGAAGCAAAAATACTTTTAACTGTTATTTTAAAAAGCAAATATCTTCTTATTTCAGCCTCTCAAATGTGAATGAATACTTTCTGATTTCCTTAATCTAGGGATCACCAATGTGGTGCCCATGGGTTACGACTAAGGACCACGAGTAGTTCGTGTCCACACATGTCAACGTGCCTTTTCTAAAAATAGCTTATCGGTGATTGGACATTTCGATGTTTTTAGAATTTTGTAGAAGTGATCATTTGAATATGTGAACATTGGCAGAGATTTATAGAAATAAAGCATTGCGCGTTACTATTTATCTGTTTTCCAATTATTGTGAGAAATCATGAACAGTGTCTTCACATCAATCCATTCATCCATCCATTTTCTGATCCGTTTATCCTCACAAGGGTCATGGGATGTGCTAGAGACTATCCCAGCTGTCTACGGGCAGTAGGCAAGGTACACCCTGAACTGGTTACCAACCAATCGCAGGGGACACATAGATGACCATCCATCTGCGCTCACACTCACACCCAGGGACAATTTAGATTGCTCCATTAACCTGCCATGTATGTTTTTGGAATGTGATTCAAGTCATTTACTAAAGGAAAAATGAAAAACAAAATAAAACAAGTGTAAATGCTTGCAATTTTCATGACGCAAAGCAACTTTGAATACCACCATCGAGTGTTCAAATGGACATATGACAGGCAATGTCATAGACAGAGTACAAGTACTGTGACAACGCAATAATACAGTTTAGCAAATTGTCCATTGGTGTGAATGTTTGTCTGCATGTGCCCTGTGATTGGCTGGTGACCGGTCCAGTGTTGTACCCCGCCTCTCGACCAAAGTCAGCTGGGATGGGCTCCAGCGACTCTCATCGAAATAAGGGCTGAACAATAAATAAGTAAGCAAGATGGATGGAACATATACTGGCAGTTTTCAGTTGATCCTCTATCATGTCGTTTACAACTTTGGGATCAGTGAAGTCGCATGTTGTTCACGAGTCCTAATGGGAAAGTCATCAGAGTGGACTTTCAAGTTGTCGCTGTGGGTCCGACTATGACTGGTATTAATGGGCCTGGGATAAGATGAAAGGAGAGCTTTGTAAGTGGTGTCATAAGCCACCTTCGTGTTTAGTGCTTATGTTTCCACTTTGTAATCAATGGCCTCTATCGTTGCACTGTCAAAACACCTGTCTTCTCAGTCTGGTCTGATCCCCCCCCTC